TTGTATTTCTTGAAAATAAAACGAATGTTTTGAAAAAATGTTCTGTTTAAAAAATCATAACAAAGGAAACTTCAGCTCTTCTTAGATCAACATTGATAGATTTTTTTATAGTGCAAAATTTATTTAGAGAAAATAAAAATATACAATTTAAATAGTAGCAAAAAAAGATCCAAAAAATTACAAAGTAGATGGAGGGAGCTCTGATTTCTTACTTGTATCTTACTGGTGATAAACTTCTTCACTGCTGTTCGGTGAATCTTATTGACTAAACTCTAAACCAGACGCAACAATGAACTGTGTTTAATTAGAAAACCAGTTCAGCGCTCACTGCACTAATTCACTTTTAAGCGGTCATGTTAATCCGCGGCATAAAGCCCTTTTCACATAATTACACCTAACTTCTCCTGAAACACACTGTTCTTTTTTTCTCTCTGCCAAATCCCTACGGTCTTAATTGGTCCTAATAGTACAACACAAGTATTTCCTGTTTGAACTTCTCACTTCCTGTTTTTGCTGGGACTTTTTTAGTGGCTTGAAAACATGTTTGGTATGAAAGTGTAGCTAACTCACAGCTTCTCAGTATTGGACCTGAATACAAGACACACGATTAGTGGCCATGAGAGAGGACAACATTTTTTTTTTTTTAAAGAGGCCACGTTTGACACCTTTATCTACTCTGACTAATTTCCTGCTTTTGGGGAGATGCTCAGTGAGATCTGGTGCAGGTTCACGGTGTTGTTGGTTCCTGTCAATAAAGGCCATCAGTGATTATCTGCTGTTATCTCCTTTTTTACTGAGTAAGTAACACCTATTCTGGTTTAAGCATCACAGCACAGCAATGTAGTGGATTAATATTAGACATGCAGGAGGGAGCCACCTAAAATGTCAAATGATCTATCTGTGGTGGAATCCATTAATAGTTGTGACCAGGTGTTTTACTAAAAGTACCCACCTTTTTCCTGTGAGAAGTGTATTTCTATGAATTTCTCTTGATCCGTGAAAAGAGGAAGTTCTGTTTGGGCCTCAGCCGAGCATAATCACTATGACTAGGTAGCAAATACATCTTAGAGCTTTTCTCAGAGCTTCATCATAGAAAAGTTCCCTTTTGACTGTGGGATGGTGTTTCAACATTCGTGGAAAGACAGCGAAATTAATTTAGGCAAAACACCCGAACCGTTGGTAATTAGTCAAAAGGCTAAAGGAAGGCAGTTGGTGTGTTCACTGACTAACTTTTACAGTTTGAAGTGAGGAAACTGACGTTGTCTTTACTTTAATTTGCTCTTCATAATTGTTTGTTTTTGGATACTTCTTGCAGTTTTCTCAACAACTGGTGGTGGAATTCTCATCTGACCCAAGTCCTGGTAAAGTTGCATTTGTAGGGGCATCAGGAAAAAAAAATCTATCCCTTTGTGATGTCAAACACTGTAAAGGCAAAGAGTAAACTGTAGATGGCACTGGCCTAAATTCTTTTAACAGAAACAGAAATTATTTGAATTCGAGTCTTGTTGTTTTTAAATTGTATGTTCTTAAGGTATTGAACACATTTCTGCTTATAAAAACTGAGCTAACCAGTTAGCTTGCCTGTTGAAGAATCTTCCAGAAAAACCTGTAAACTTTGGGATCAAGTCATATTGAGACTGAACAGGTCCAGTCTCAATATGACTTTGTCCCAAAGTTTTTAGAGTGGGTTGAATTTTATTTCTAATAGAATACATAGTGTACTATTCTTCTGGGCCACACAGTGCCAGATGTTATTAGCGGTTAGCGGTTAGCCGTTTCCTCCTGTAGTCTAAAATGGTGCAAGATTACATTCATTTTTTCTTTTTACTTTGACCATAGTTGTATGTCTGTACATGTGGCCCTGTGATGGACTGGTGAACCGTCTGAAGTGTAGCCCACCCTCATCTGCTGGGACTGACCCCAGACCTTTCTAGGAAAGGAAGTGAGAATATGAAATGAATAAACGCATGAATTATTTTTCATTTTGTCAAATGACTGTTTGATATATGTAATGCCTTTAATACCTGTTGCATTTAGGAAATATCTTTTTCTGGAACATTGGTTTGGTCTTGTAGATATTTTTATTGCTTATAAAGATCGATGCACATGTTAATATTATTTAAACGCTGTCCCCTTCTTAAAGCCTTAATATCCTTAAGGCGTCTTAGGAAGGAGAGTTGCTTTTAAGCTAGAACAAAGCAAAGGTCAAACCTCCCCCTGTAACACACACACACACACACACACACACACTGCATCTGAACTGCACTTCACCTCCTTTCATCTTCTCGTCTTCTCTCTCTCTCTCCCTCTCTCTGTCTCTCTCTGATTCAAATTTGCAGTGGGGACGGCCAGGATACCTTTTGATTTAGCTAATTCAATTTATTGGAAAAACAAATAAACTGCAGGGAAGTGGGAGGCAAGAGAGTGGGAGTAGGGACATGGACGAGATGGAGGGTTGCATGGAGGTCTGAGAGGGAACGAGCTGCGGTGGAGAGGAGGCGAAGATGTTGGGGGGTGTGAGAGGTGGTCGCCGGAAGAGTGGAGGAGAGTGGAGGGGAGTAGAAGGGAGTAGAAACGGCCGGTTCCAGGTTGAAGTCGTAAACCTCTGGTTGCTCTAAAGTAGGTGGCCATGAAGATCTCTGCACAGACACATGTGAGATCTCTACTATGAATCTCTTCCCTGCAGCGTGGCTCTGATAGAGCAGATAAGAAACGGCCATTTTTATGGAGCATTTGTCATCGCATTATTCAGAGTGTGAGTAAGTGGGGGAACACCGTGTCCTGTGCAGCCGTGCAGTGATGAGTAAAATGTTGACAAAATCTGAATCTCAGTTTTAAATCGTGAGATTAGAAAGTACTTCTGCTTTTGTTTTAAACAAATGTAATTACTTTGTTTTGGGGCTCTGAATGACACCACCAACAGTTAGGTGTTAGTAGGCGCTCCTGGGATGACTATAGCTTAAAGTGAAATTATTTTGAAATTGTTTGAAGGAGTAGACATGAAAAATAATTTATTTCTACTGATACTGCAGGAGCTGATGGATCTGATCGCTCTTTTTCTAATATTTTTTCTACGACTGCAGGAAAAATACTCTGAACAGGGCACACATTATTTTTAAAAGGCAAGGAAAAACTGAAAACTCTTTTAAAGTTAATTTAGACTTAATGAGTTGCTCTTTTTCTTAAGTAGCTTTAATATGTTTATCCTTATTTCCAATGTTGACGCCATGTTTTTCAGTGGGAGTGACTCTGTCTCGGCAACAGCTGTGCTGACTTCACGTTTTTTCGCGTTGAGTTGTCACTTTTATAAACTCGTGAATATCATGTCGGAGGGTGACTGTTTATCCACACATACACCTTAGCATCGGAACTCGGCAGGAACACTAAATCTTTCTTACATTGTTTTGTGCCTGTGCGCATACGGTGCACACACATGGACTGGTGGGTTCATGAGAGGGCACCTCTGCGAGTCACAGGCCTGGCAGATTGCTGTATTATTTTTGGGAGGGCTTCTCCTTCCCTTTGGAGGGCCTCATTGAAGATTGCTGGCTCTTGCTCTCTCTGTCGCCCCCTCTCAGGCTGCGGGACTCCAGCCAACCTCGTCCAAGCAGTCTAACTGGCTGCAGCATTAACACACAGCCCGCTGGAACTGTGGCCTGTACACAGCCCTACGCTGAACACAGATGGCTAGACTCTTTGTTGGCAGTCACTCATTGCATTTCAACCGATGTCCAGCGAGGGGATTACAGGGATCCCTGGCCCGCTCTGAAAATAGACCAGTTTTCCAGTCATGTATCCATTTGTGTAGAGCCTGAGTCAGTGCCATAGGTGCTGTGAATAACAGAACAACAACTCTACAAATCCCTGCATAAATATTATTTCTGGTTTGAACCAATTTATCCTCAGGGGACAGCTCAGTAGATCAGCGTCCACAGCAGTCCAGCAGATGTGAGCAGGGTGGAGGGCTCAGGGAGGGGTAGCAGTCCACTTTTAGGGTGGACTGTTTAATCGGATGGTTTGTGCTATGGGCGTGTGTGAGGGCACGCTGAACTTAGCGATGATGACCCGAAATTGGCCCCTAATCGTGCAGACTCATTAGCGGCCTGGCTCCAGTCAAAGTTTTCTTCAGCGCCTTTTTATTTATTTATTTCCCCTAATAGCCCGAAAGAGCAGAACAAAGAGTATTAAAGACAAACTTAAACACAAAACACTTAAACACAAAACGAAAAGCAGAAGAAAACAGGCAGTAGGAGTGAAAAACAAAGGGTGAAAAAGAAAAAGAGGACAAGACGAGGGGAGAAGCAGAGTCAACGCCTGCTTCCTGCCAGCCTCAGCTGCGTGCACATCTGTGTGTGGAGGGGTCTGAACAGACCCCCACGTGTTTGCTCAGGTCGCCTGATTGCCTTTCCTTCCTCTTTTCTCTCTCCCACTAAAGACCCTCTGTCCTTCCTCTCACTCCAATCACCGCCACCGAGAGAGAGAGAGAGAGAGAGAGAGAGACGGCAACTCCGACACAACCAGTTCCCATGAAAGCCATGACTCAGGGTTTACCAGCCTAGAAATTTAACAAGTGATAACAGAACTGGCAGCTGGAGCCAAACATGTCCCTTCACTTGTTATATGGGAACATAATGGTCTGAGTTTAAAAGCTTTTGTTGATGCGTTGGTGTTTTTGTTTGTTTTTTTAATTCCACGTCTGTGTGTGAGCATGTGCTAATGTGCATATGTATGTGTGTGACTCCGGAGTCTGCTGTCTGGGTACAGTGGTCCAGCCTGGGGCTTCAGCTCCACAATGGGCCTTCTCTTAACAATCAGAGATAGAGGAGGAGCCTGACCAAAGCATTACCACGCTTAAGGGATCACAGAGCTCTCCTTGATACATCTGATATCACTTATGATTTAGATCATCAAGCGCTCTTTGTTAAAAAAGCCCAACTTCAGATTGATGCTTGTGTACATGTGTATCCACGGACGCGTCACAGCAAGGAGACGATGACAGGTTGAACCTCAGTATTAAACTTTATTTACTTTACTTTTGTGAGATGGAAAAAAAACATGATAAAAACATACAGCTCAGGGCCTTTTTTAACTCTAAGATAGGTCAGTGTTTCTCTTTATGCAATTACCATGAAATTTAAATCATAACAGATTCCATGTGTCCTTGACAAAAAGCTGAAAGAGTGAAAATAAATTATCATAGCAATAATTATTACATCAAATATAACAACAATAATAGCAATTAAGCATTTATAAACACTTTAATTATGGAGTCTTTTCTTCTCCATCAAAGTCCATTATTATAAACAGGTGGGAGCTGTGGTGGTGGTGGTGTTGGTGTTGGTTGTGTACAATCCAGCATGTGAGGAGAGGATAGGTTGCAGATGTTGTAGTCGGGGTCTGACCCGATTGGCTGCCGTGGACGTCAGAGCGCCTTCATACCAGCAGCAGCGGTGTTAGACAGGGTGCTGGTATCTGGGTGTATAATGAGACGTGGGTGAGGTGGAAACAGCGGTTCTTTTTAAGACCTCTCTTGAGTCTCCTGTTTCAGGGTCATGGAGAGGTGGGTACCAAAGTGACTTAGTAAAATAAGCAATAAGAATGACAAGCATCTCCATTTACTCCCTTTCCTGCGCGCCTCAGTCACCCGAGGACCAGAGAGCGTCCCATCAGCGCTTCACAGAGTCTGCTAATGTCCCACTCTGTGCTGCTTCCGAGCAGTGAGGTCAAGCGGTGACGTGACCTTCAGTCATAAAGTCCAACTGAAGATCCCTCCTCTCTGAGCACTGTACACAAAGGCCATTTAGTGTTAATGGCGGTTCAGTTTTTTTGGCGACTGCAGGGGGGCCTCATCAGTGAGGCTCGGCCCAGACCGGCGAGCGATTGGAGTGATGGGGGTGACCGAAGGAAGGGTGGATTGGCGTTGGAGTGGGAAGCATGTGTCCCGAATGGCTGAAGGGGGGCAAGTGACCCATGTGGGTCATGTGGCTGGTGAGGCCCGGCGCTGCGCCGAATGGAGAGGACTTGTCCTGCATGCATTTGGACAGCTCGTCAAAGCCGTCTCCTGTTCGTTTGTTCCTCTTGGACTTGCTGGACATCTTGCGGTTGCGTGTCTGGATGCCCTCCTTCTTCATGGTCAGGGGTCTGTTAACCTGCGGGAGCAGCAACGTTAATTCACTTGAGATCATAATTTTATGAAAGTAACATTTGATAAATCACATTCTTGCTCTTGAGTTTACTTTTTAGATCACCACCAAAAGTTGTGATTTTTTTCCCCCACATGTTTACCTTAAAAGAATGTGACTTTTTCCAATGGAAACGGAAATGTTTTCAAGTAATAGTAGGACCCCATGTGAAAAATGCTGAATTATCTAATATTACTTTTGAAGAGTACATTTCCTTAAAACACACTGATCATTATCATTACTGTATATCTGCCACAGCCTCGTAACGGGCCCTGAACCAGTCTTTGAGGAACACTGCTTTATAATCTTGAGTAAATAATTCTGATTTGGTGTAAAGTAAATAAGCATCCAAGCTCTGAATGTGATTATAAGAACCTCAACAATATTTGGAGGAGGGAAGAAATCACTTGCCCTTGAGAAAAAAATTTACATACATTTTTCAATGCATTTTCCTGGTGCTTTCATGCAGAGCAAGCAATTTAAATACTATACGCCCATTGGTCTCTGATAGACAGTTTGTTCTTCAAAAAAAAACATGCATTCAAAAAAAAAAAAAGCAGTCACCTGCACTAAGGTTTCCCTGATTGTATTTCTTTTCTTTCTTTCTTTTTTTTTTTTTTTTTGACATTAACATTGGCCTTGAGTTCAGTTCACCGATTTGTTTGGAATTGTGTCAGACTTTTGCAAATCAGATTTTCTTTCTTTCAGCTTCTTCAACATAGTTATGCAGTAATTTAGCAGTTGTGACATTTGGTGGTAAGATTATGCACAAGACTCTGATTGGCCGATAGTCCATTTTCTACCAGCTCTGGATAAACTGAAGGCATTTCACACTAGGTTTTACTTTCATCTCTGCATTTCAATTGGGGAGGGTGTTCTTTGGGTCACCTGCTTCTCCTTGCCTTTTCTAAAAATAAGCCATCTACATTCAGGTTCTTGGTCTTGTTTGAATTTATCTTTTTAGAAGATGTCGATGTTTCTCTCTTTCTCTTAAATATGTGCATTTAAGTAACATTTTATTTCAAATTAAGCTGTATTTATTAAACCATACAGGGAATAAAAACACTGACGTCTGTCATCTGTATGTAGCTGGTGTTTTTTAACATCTATAGATTATTTATAGTCAGTCTTGTTGAACCCCAATGCTGTTAAATTAATATTCTTCTTCTGCAAAAGCCAATTTGCCTCCTAACAATCACTTCACTCCAGCGCCAGTATTGAGCAGCTGCTTTACATTAACCGCTCCATTACAATGCTGGTCAAACAGGGGCGGGTTTTATTCATCGCTTTTGTCTGGTTTCAAACCAAACAGGACCGTCCTGGCTGCACCGGTCTGATATGAATACATGAGCAGGCAAAAACAGGCAGGACTGGCCTGAAAAGAGCAGTTTCAGACAAATCCTCATCAGTGTAACCGACGCTGTTACACTGAATGACAGTCCCACCCTGCTGCCTCTCTGGGGAGCAACGCCCCCCATTCAGAGAACGATGGATTAATAAAAAAAAAAGGGGAGAAGAAGAAGAAGGAGACCGGTGGGTTCTGCTCTGCAGGCTGAGCAGGCTTTTCCTCCTCTGCTCACACACACACACACACACTCACACTCACAGTTCCTCTGCACCTAAATCGATACTAGCTGTCCGCCCACTTGACCACTAAACGACCAGCAACACCCAAACACACACACATCCCCAAAAAGCGTTGCATTTGATTTCAGTGATTTTTTTAAAAACTCTTCCTCTCGAATGTGTACTCACATTGTGCAGTTTAAAGTAAAGTCCGCAGGCGTTGCACACCGGGTCTCCGTTCCCATTGCGCCTCCACAGGGTGGTGGTAGTGGTCTGGCAGTTTGCGCAGCAGGTGCCTGCACGTCTGGCTGCGGACTGGAGAGAACAGAGAGGGAGGAAATATTTTTAAAAATATATATATAAATATTATTAGTACATACACGGTCAGATGATGATCAAAATTTGAATATTTTTTATAAATAACAAACACGAATCATGGCATTTATTAAATCACGTGATAAAGGAATAATATTAAAATACTGGCCGCTTAAAAATGTCTGATTTACTTATTTAAATGTCTGGAATTTCTTCTGGAACAAATGTGAAAAGTAAAAATACATGAATAAATATTCCGAACGTGTCGTGCATGTGTGAGTGTTTGCCTGCACATCTGCAGCTTCATTAAAAATAAAAACACACTCTTCGCAAGATGCGCGCGTTAGAAAGGCACGTGTTTTACTCCTGCGATTAGTGACGCTGCAAAGCGTTAAAACAACAGCAGAAAATGCGTTAAACGCAATAATTAACGGCAGCGCACATCATGCTAGGTGCAAAATCAATTATCAAATATCAATTGCCATTTTTAAATATTGTAATTTGTCCACCGAGATACGGTTTTTTTCTTCCAATATGAACACGTCTGTCGGTGATGATAATGTGGGAAATAAAGATAGACATTTTAACCCCAATTATTTTTTTTTCTGATAAAGGAAATAAAAGTAAAAATATTTTTAAAACAAGTTGTGTTAGAGCCACCGTGTCCTGCCTGGCGCAATGTGCGCCTCCTGCGTCCATTGCGGATCAATTCTTCACACATAATAAGAAACATTAGCCCTACATGCAACACGCCCGCGGCTCTGTGCTGCACAAACAAGCAGCGTCCAGACTTTTCCTCCATTTAATTCATGTCAGCTGAGCGCATTGAGCACAATAGAAGCTCGTCTTATCAGATATAATAATAATAAAAATAATAATAATAATAATAATAATAATGTGTGTTTCCCAGCCTCTCTCTCTCTCTCTCTCTCTCTCTGTCTCCATGTCTGTCTCTTCACACACACACACGTATATGCGGCTCCTTGAGTGTTTTGATAATCCTTTTACAGTGTGTGTGTCAGTCTGAACACACACACACACACACACTCACATACATACATACAGGCAGGGAGAGAATGCAGTGAGGGCGGAAACAGCCGGGAGCCTGACTTCCTTATCTGGGCCGGGCAGATATCCGGATAGGAAACAACTGGATGCCCCTTTGAACACAACTCTAAAAAACACTCGAGCTGCAAATGCGCGGAGCCGCAGAGCGACAGAGCCGCGGTGGTGAGACCATGATGCAGTGAGTGAGGAAAATGTGGAGGAGAAGGAGGAGGAGGAGGAGGAGGAGGAGGGACGACGTGGAGGTGTTCAAGGAACAGTGAATTTAAAATGGGAAAGATGTTTATAAAGAATGAAATTGCATCCTTCTCCCTGTCTGCTGATGGACTGATAGGAGCCAATTTATTGGCGAGTCAAACGAGGAGCCGCAGAGTTAATGAAGTTCATTAGAGCCGCGCACAGTCTTAATTAGTCCACATGACACAGGTCACACCCCGCCGCCATTAAAATGGAAAGGCCAGGCCGGCAGTTAATTATTTATTAAATATATTATTGGTAAACGTTTAATGGCATTAATTGAGATGGCTGATTATTAATATTATTAGTAGCAGAAGGTGGCTGTATGTCCTGAAATACTAATAAAACTACGTTATGCGTTTTTCAACAATGTTAATATTTTTTTTAAAAATGTGCGATATTTTGAAAAGAAAAACAGTCGATTTAGTTTTAAACTTAAACAAATGGATATTCTTTTACAAATGTTATAATGTGATGATCAATAACATACACATACAGAGCACAAATATATATAAATATAAATATATAAAAATCTCATCCATTCACATTTAAAAAAAATAAATACATACAAAGGAATTAGCATTTAGTCAAATTATTTCCAAACATGGGGTTGGGACCCAGCAATGTGTCGCTAAATATACATCTAAATATTTGGTTACCAAAAATTATGTAATTTATTTTAGTTCCTTTTAACATGATATTTATTTAAATACCAATATGTTTATTTATGCAAATGGGTTTCTTGAAAAAAAAAATCAAAAGTTTAAAAGAAATACTAAATACGATATTCTTATCAAAAAATGTAGCAACAATCAACTATAACTTTGTTGTGTGAAATGTTTGGATGACATGATAATCCTATTATTTACTGCATTGGGGCCATGACTGGTTTGTTATCTGGATAAAGGTGCGAGCCAAACACTTGGACGTGAGTCTCTGTCAGACAGCGTGTGATAAATTTGCTGAAATCTCTCTTCATTTATTTGACTGTGGTGTTAACTTTAACAGCGTGGCCATGGTATCACTATCAGTATCAAAGATACCAGCAATAATGATAGCAGGAACAATAGTAATAGTAGCAGTACTGTAATGGGTCACGAAGGCGGACCGTCAGGGGGTGAGGGGGACAAACAATTCCAGGAAGATCATAGGGAAAATATAACTTTCCTGGAATTGTACTGCCGGCATCTGCTTTGTGCTCATATTTGGGTGCCTTCATCTCTCTCTCTCTCTCCCTCTCTCTTTTTCAGAGAGGCCTTTACGTGATAGTGCTGCACTCACCAGTCTGCGTTTGGGCTTGATGAGCGGCCGGTTCTGCCCGTTCATCTTATGGTAGAGTCCGCAGGCGTTGCACAGGTAGTGTCCGGTGCCGTCCCGTCGCCACAAAGGGGTGGAGGTGGCGCCACAGTTCACGCACTCACGGCCCTCTGCATATAGTTCAAGAGAAGGAGACATTTTTATATAATTAAAAAATTCAACCACTGTTGCACAAAAAACACACACGGCAGCAGTTCAAATCATTCACAAACACTGACTGACCCGGGGTGTCCCTGTGATGTGAAGTCAAATCTCTCTCACACACACACACACACACACACAGTGGTGACATATGTGCAGGGCGAGCGACTGGTCACAGTTACAGTTACAGACACCCCTATATGTAAACAGATCCAGGGGCAGAGACAGCCAGAACATGTCCACAGGTGTCCAACAAAAAGAATGAGACACACCATTAAGTTATAGGACTGCATTATTCATCAGATCAGTGGGCACCCATGAGAGGAAACATAAGTGTGAGGCGCCGCTGGTGTTAAATGTGCCAGGCAGGACGGCAGTTGTTGAAAACATGGTGCTGTTTACTGCACTTGGGTGAGGACCTGTGTCAATAGGTACCAGACTGTGCCCTTAATATCTGCACTTTGTAGTTTTTTTATTTTTTATAATGTATTGTTTTAAAATCACATTAAATCCTATACCTTTGGTCAAGCGGTTTATATATGTATATACTGTATATATAGCATACAATTGGAATATGTTATCACTTATGCTATAGTGGTTAAGTTAAGTCTGCGAGCGTCTATGTTGATAACAGTAAAGTTTTCCCCCATAATGAACACATACTGTGACATAATAAAGTTCAATAATTTACTCATCCATTAGATTTAGTCATTGAGGTAACAGCTATTTCTGGCTTCTCTGTAAGGCTAAATGTAAATACCTGAAACAGTTTTGATTCTGTGTCGTCAGCTTGACATTTCTCATTCCAGGATGACAGCTAAAGTTAAGACACGTGGTTTCTGAACTAAGAAAATAAGGGGATGTCTTTTTGTGAGTGTCTTTTATCAGACACTGATTGACAATTTGCTGAAAGTTTGTTGTTGTTTTTTTTTTTTTACATTTTTGTTGGTCTAATCACTGATCAAAGGGTGGTGAAACAGCCAATAAAAATCATTTCCCGCTCTAGCCTAGCCCTGTGCTCCTTTGACTCTGCTGAAACACAGTCAGTCCTGCTCTGAAAACATCTCTTTATTTAAAAAAAGAAAAAAACCACAGCTTCCTTCACGTCAACCTGTTGCTAAACGGACCAATTCATTAAATTCAAGCCTCCCTAGAGCATCAGCTCATTATTCCTGTTATAATGCTAGCGACACCCAGAGTCCCACCCTCGCCCCACAATGGAATCTGACCTGAGCGAAAGCTGTGTTCCTTTTGAAATGCATCACTCGGCTGCTATGTTGAACCTCCCTTTTCTTTTGTAAGAACAGCGGCATCATTAACACCCTAAAATATTCACCAGCAATGACTTGTCAGTTTTGACTTACGCTACGCAGTGTTGAAATAATTTCAAATAAGGAAGATGAAACGCTTCGAGAAAAGGAGGAGGTGGATCTCTGGGTTTGAGACAAGTTCATCATGAAGCTGCATGAAATGTCATTGTGGCATTTTGTACACCAGTCAATCACCATTACTGGGGATTGGACACTGGCTTTGAGGGATAAAGAGTTCCTTTTCTGTGAAGAATAGCTGATATATTTGTGTGTCACTGGCTCAGTCATGAAGAGCCTACGTTTATTTTAAATGTCACGGTCTAACATTTCAGACTATCTGTCTTTATGCAATCCGGCTCCATCCAAGCAAGTGTAATAGGGAAAAGATAACTGACATTAGATAAAGGATGATTGATACGTTTCACAGTTTTGTAAATTCCTAACTTTTTAACCATTTCATTATGAAGAGCTTGTATGTGTTATAATTACATTTAATTTCAATGGCTTTTTATTTATAATACTAACCACAGAAATGTTCCCATAGTTTGACACATGTTTGTAGTGGATGCTATTATTTTACCATTAACTATTGAATTGCAGATTGATCTAATAAGATTTCATATTTTAAGTGACATTTTTTCGAATTGTTACTCTTAAAAAGTTTTCAGACATTTTTTAGATGCAAATGAACAAATCAGGATCTTTTAGTAAGGGGTTCAGCGCACCAATATTTACTGAGATTTTTTTTTTCTTAAAATTTACTTTTACATTTGTAATACCCCAAAAAACAATGACCCCAAAAATGTTTTTCATGACTCATTCATGGGCCCTGCCCCATTAAGACATCAGTTGTTGAACTTTTTCATC